CTGCTGTGGAGCCCGGCGCCGCGGCCCCGGCCCTACCGCGTCTGCAACTGGGACCGCAGCTTGCGCAAGGGCATCATGGCACGGAGCCTCGCTGAGCTGCTGCTCCAGGTGAGCTGGGGGCCCTCCGCCCATCTGGCGGGGCTCTCCGTCTGGCCTGGCTCCCCCTTCCCATCACCATCACCCCTTGCAGGTTCAGAGCACCCTGCTCGCGCCGGAGCCTGTCTCGCTGGTCCTGGATGAGGATGGCACGGCCGTGGAGACGGAGGCTTTCTTCCGGACGCTGGAGGAGGGCACGGTGCTCATGGCCCTGAGCGAGGGGCAGACGTGGTGTGCCTCCAAGGTGAGCACCTGGGGTGGGATGGGGTCCTGGGGTGAGCAGGAGCCCCGTTTGGCAGGGCTGCCTCCTGCTGCGATGCTGGCCAGGAGGTACCTGGGACACTGGGGCAGGCTGGGGTCTCTCTGGGAGTGATCCCATAACCTGAACACCACTCTGCTCTAGACGCCAGGCTACCAGCTGAGCTTGTCCCGCAAGCCGCGCCGCAGGATCGACGTGGCCTGCATCACCTTTGACCTCTACAAGACCAGCCCCAAGGACCTGGGCTGCCTCAATGTCAAAGCCACCCTCTATGGCACCTACAGCATGTCCTATGACCTGCGCTGCTATGGGGCCAAGCGACTCATGAAGTGAGTGCTGGGGTCCGGGCTGTCCCAGAGGGGGCTGTGAGATGCCCTTGATGGGGTGGCCTGGGGGGGCTGTGATGGGTGGGCAGGTAGGTGGGTGCAAGGAGGGATGCTCACCTGCCTCATCCCTGTGCAGGGAAGCTCTGCGCTGGACGCTCACCATGCAGGCCACGGGCCATGTGCTGCTGGGTACCTCCTGCTACATGCAGCAGCTCCTGGATGCCACAGAGGAGCCCAAGGAGGACCACGCAGAGAGCACCCCAGCCCTGCAGAGCCTCCTGCCGCTGCCCCGCAGCCAGACCCTGCAATGAGGGCTCAGCACTGCAGCCCCTCCGCACGCGCCCTGGGGATGCACATCCCATCCCTCCTAGGTCAATGCACGTGGGGAGACTGCTTGCACTGCACTGTGGCACCCATTTCTTCCCCCCGCCGGCTTGGTGCAACCAGGGCAGCTGGGACCTGCCTGGATGCCTCTCCCTTGCACGTTGCTGGCTGAATGCAGCCAGGTCTTCTCTGTGGTGTCTGCTACTCTGTAAATATATTTATTTAAGTAAAGCTCTATGTACTCCAGTGCAGTGTTGGTCTCTGTCCCTTCTGCTGCCTTGCAGGGCTCTGCCTGGGCTGGAGGAGGCTCCGTGCTTCACTGGGAGCAGTGTCCCTCTGGGAGGGGGTGACCTGCCCTCCCCTGTGTCCTGCCCTGCTCCTGGCCGGGGGCTCGGCTCAGCCTGACCCCACTGCAGGGAGCAGGAGCAGCGCTGCCCTGTCCCAGCTCGGCCTTGGCCCAGGCCCAGCCCTGCTCCGCTCTCACCCCGGCCCCGCGCAGCCCTACTTGGCGCGTCAGGCCTCGGGGCTGTGTCGCAAGAGAACTTGAGCTGGGGAACTTGTTGCAAGAGGCGCCCCCGGAGCTGTCGCCTTTGCGTTTCTCCCTGCAATTACAGCTGGCTCTGGGGTGCAGGGGGACTGTGCCTGCCCCCAGCACGAGGCAGGGCGAGGGGCTGGGCTCTGCCACCCCCCAGGAGGGCAGCTGCCAGAGCATCCCCTTCCCTGGGGCCAGTGCAAACTAGCTCCATTGCCCCCCAGACCTGCCCTGGCCCCTGGGGGGGCTGCAGGTGGGAACTGGCTGCATCGAACCTGCATGCAGCAGTGCTCCCCTGGGCAAAACCCTGACTACTGCTTTGCCTAAAGGGATTTAAGTGCCCTCCCCAGCCCTGCGGCACAGCTGCGTGTTACCTGCAGGAACTGGTGCAGCAGCAAGGCCTGAACTGTCCCATTAGTCCAGCTTTGGCACCTAGAGCAGGGAGGGAAGCACCCATATCCCCTTTTCGGCCATGGCAGGGGCGCTGCAAGGCTGCAGCCCTTTTTGCTGGCTGGTGCACAGCTTGGGGAGCTAAGCTGAGTCTTGCTGGCATGAGCCGTGGAAGCCAGCACAGCCGGGGCCTTGCACAACCCCGCTCCCCGGCAGTGCCGTGCAGCCCGCGGCGAGCTGCCTGCAACGCGGCGAGGGCGGCTGC